CACATTTAGGGATGCTGGCTTCTCATTGTTAGTACTGCTGCAGCATTATGATTCGGTAACCATTTTTGGTATAATATTGTTACTGCATTAGGTACAATATGTGTACTGATTTTCGGTATTATTGTGGTACTGTAATCCCGTATTGTAATACTGTACTATAATGGTACCGACGTTTAGAAACATTACGACACCGTAATCCCGTATTATAAGAGTAGTGTATTTCGAGTCTTGGCCCGTTGCTATCATCCCAGTATTACATCAGTACAATACCAATACTGGCATCCGATATCACGCCGGAATACTAAAAGTTGGTACTGGGCCAGTATCTCGCCGGTATTCAATTCCCACTTGGGTACATGTACTAAGAATACATTTATATAGCATATATCTAAAAATATTAAGATTATTTTTACTTTTGTAAAATTATTTTATACTTATGTGTAAATCTATTTTCTATGTGTAGATATTAGGTTTTCTATGTATACATATATTGTTATTAGATGACCGATTTTAAATACTTTGTAACTAAAAATTATTAAAATCTGGATATATTAAAAAATTGTTGTCTCAAAATAATCTTAGGAATTTGTTCTTAAGGATTGTATATGGGACGCCTTTTATATTTGTGAAACGACCTAATAATTATAAGAGCTTAAACTGTAATTTTTAATTTTTAATATGACGGTTTTATACTGTTAAAATGTATATTAAAATGTATCTGAATGATAAGTGCAAAGAATGTGTTTCCATTGTAAAACCATTGTATAATTTTTATGCTTTATTATCTGTATATTTTTATATACTTTTTTTCACCTAATTGATTATTAAATTAATCTGCCGATTTGAGAAAAGCATATTATGTCTTAATTTTCTAAAAGCAATATAATAAATTACAAAAGTTATCTTATTTGATTTTCTCAGAGCTAAAGAAAAATCTTTATATGGTAGACTTCGTTATACAAAGATTTGGTCTTACGTATTATACTATCTTCTTGTAATATTAATTTAGTAAAAAAGAAAAAGAGAAAAGGCAGAGGAAAAAGTGCTGTCGACGCCATTAATTTGATTGGACAAGTTTCGGATCACAGACCTTAGGGATCCATTATGTATTAGTAGGATCGATTCGGTAAGATTAAGGACAGGGACGATCGCAAGAAGCCGCCGACTCAGCCACGGAAATCCCGAACATAATTTTCTCCATACGAGTTTCAAATCTCCCGAGATAATGCGATGCTGCGTCGGTGCACAAATATACGGCTTGTAGGAACACAACTTACGAGAATCTTTACAAATGTTTTTCTCTGCATGTCGTTCTCTTTTATCAAAGATTACTTAGAAAATCGAGGATTTTAATAGAAGAAACTGAAATCTAGATACCTCAAAAATTGTATGTTAATATGTGTTAAAAGAAAAATGAAATTTTTTTTATTATACATTGTTTGCATTTATGTCGGTTATTATTTTAGTATAAAATAGTTTTTACACAATAAGTTGCACGTACTGACACAATATAGATTAATTTTAATTGAGATTATACAGAGAGAAAAAAAGAAGATATTTTATATCTTCTTCTAATTCTAATTCTAAGAAAAAGATAAATTAAACCGTGATTAAAGTTAATCTACATAGAAATGAGCCTAATGACCATTTTTACCAACATGGATTAACTTTAACTTCGGTACAACTTATTTTTCATCTTCTAATTTTTAAAACTAGAAAGAGATGGAGAACTAGTTGAATCGAGATTAAAATTAAATTATTATACATTGATACAAACAGATCTAAATCGAATAAAAAACGTTTAACGTTATGCAATTTAAATAGCCAATTGCGTTGTGAAGAAATGCATTTTTATTCTATCCACGCTGAGCGTATATTGCTTTTATGACCATTCAGTCATCACAATCAATTCGCATTGTCATAGCCATCATTTGTATTCGTCAAGCGAAACGATCAAGAGATCGGATAAGAAATATTGGAGAAGTCTATGAAATATTCAGTGAAACGTAGTAAGACGATGAATGGATAAATGTCTGGCGGTTGTTCTGTGAAAATCTAATTGCGATTGTCGGGATTAATCGAATCTCTCGCAAACGGCGTAATTATCATTAATGGTGGGCCAGCTTATTGTGAGACTTGAAAGTCCCTGTCGTGCAGAACGACCTGAACGATCATTTTGCTTCTTTTAGTGCTCGTAGCTTCTTCAATCTGCCGGCAACGTCTAAAAAGCTGAAATTGTGGCCAAGTGGTAGTGGTGGCGTAGGAAACGCGTTTCCACCGCGCGCTTCCATGAGACAAAGCCGGATTGTTCTGCTGTGCGCGGAGGAAAAGGTGAAACGATCCTAGGCTTCCTGCAAACTGAAACCCACTGCCTCCTCTTCCTCCTCTTTCTCGTCCTGCTGCCTTTACCGCGATGTTCGTAGCGAAAGCTCGTTATATTTAAGCCGAGAAATATATATATGTGTATGCGCGAGTTAACGCGGCTGTTACACGTGACTTGGTTGGTGCATTCGCTACACTGCGTGTGTTGGTATTGCGAATTAAATTATTTTCATCGTCATATATATATATATATATATTTTATACACACATATGTATATATGTATTAAAGTACACATTATATATATATATATATATGTATTACATATACATGTATGTATGTGTTGGCGGAACATAATGCGGCCAATTCACGTGCCGCCGAATTCCGACATGGTGCAATTTAGCGAGGAACATTTTCAAATGTGATGTGTGGATATATTGCGCTGTGGTCTGACGCCAGACCAGTCTTATATTTAAATGCAATTTAAAAGAGAACTCATTTCTTAATGTGAAACGTTGTCAAATGACAACGACATGCCAAATAAAAAAATATTTTTATTTGTTTCTTTGAATTGGTCGAACGTCCGCAGAATGCGAACTTTGAAAAGAGCAAGATTAATGAACTCTTTCTCTCTCTTTCTCTCATATAATATATTAATTAATTTATAAATATCATTTTATATCACAATTAATCAGATTTATTAAACGTAAATGCGCAAATAATTATAAACTGACAAACTGATTAATAAATTGAAGAGAGAATTGACTTATTAAGATTCAACAATTAGTATTTTCATTAACGTTTTATAACGCATTTTCATATAAAAACAGATATACTTCGTGGAATAACAGAAAGCAGTCGGAAGTAAAAGTAATAGAGAATAGACTGGATCTCAAATGTCGCAGTTCAAACCACAGGTAAAAACCATTTGAAAGAAAATGACTGTAAAGTCGGTCACGTTTGGCTGAAAGAATTTTTTACGTTGATTTCTTTATAAAAGTAATTCGTCTGTATCTGTGGCTTCGTTCCTTTCACTTATTAGAACTTATATGAAACCTCCAGATTTATCTTATTTGATTAGAGAGACCCAATTTGTGTTTTTCTTGCAAACAATCTGCAAAGAAATCCTTCAAAGTTTTATAATTCTTTTACTCGTAAAAAAAATCTTTCCTTTATTGGACCAATCTTATCACATAATTGATCATTCTCAAACAGACGACTTGTTGAAAATGACAAATTTTAATAGCATCTGGTTGAACGGAATAAATAATGATCTCTAATTTCTAAATCACACAACGTAATGCATTGTGTTGAATTTTTTTAATTAAAAAGGTATTAGAGTTTAAGAGGTAAAGAAGGAAATTAAAGTAAAAAAAGGAAATAATGGAGAAAATAGATCATGATACAGGAAATATCACAAATGTACACACTGTGATTATTGTAAATATCATTTATTGGACTTTTAGGCATCATTGGGTACAACGATTACACCACGTTGCTTACTTGTAACACCTTAGCGATCTGAAAAGAAAACTCGGGTTCGTCGAAGTCGACTAAATCAACGTGAAGACATCAGGTATGTTTATTTCGTATCTATAGATAGTACTGCGGTCACGCGCGCGAATAAGACGTACCGGCGACAAGGATTAACATTAGTCGTCGGTAAGCCGAGTACAAATTCTATATTTTTACAAAAATTAGGAACCACCAAATTTACAAAAAAGTTACCTTAAGGTAACGAAAGAAGCGGAATCGATTGGAACGGAGTCGCTATGCCGCGCTACGTTCCGTTCTCAATCAGATAGATCAAAGTATCGCAGAAACAACAATGTCCATGTTTCTTACAATAACTACAGCTAAATTCAATTTAGGACGTTCATAGGACACAGTGTATTTTATTGTAAGGTTCTCGTTGAAAAGTTCTCAGCACAAAGCGTCATTGTCGCTTTGCTTCTCTGCCTCACTCAACGAAATGAGCGTTGTGATCAGTTATGATCGTGCGAACGAGATTCAGGGGGAAAAGGCGAACGAGAACTTATGGCTAAATAAAACTTTATAAAAATATATCAACGAATAATAAATATATCTCTAACAGCGTCACTGTATAATTCGTCGTGTACGGGCGTACGATAGCCTACGCATTTACAATCACTATATACATACTATCAAACTCTATTTACTCTAAATAATATACAACAATTTATTTTAGTCGCCCTATCTTTGGGAATATTTGACGTTGCACAATTAAGTTTTTCCCGTCCGTTGGCGTACCCATACACTTTCCTGGACGTGCAGAAAATCGTATGTCCCTCATTAAAAGTTAAAATTTGCAATTAGCTTTCTAGTTTCCTGCATCACATCATCCTGCCTGCACAAAAATCTTATTATTTCATTATTAATACGGGCAGTATCGCTCGTCGAATTCGCGCATCGCAAGTTCACTTCGCAATATTAATAGATTACAGTTCGGCTCAAAGTCGATCTATCCGAGTTTATTCGGTCACAATTTGACGATTATATTTCGTTATCTTTCATTTGCGAGAAATTCGAGTAGCAAGAAAGAAAGGGGAAAAAAAGAATTGGTCTTTATTTAGTCCTGATCCCTACGCGCGGGAACACCGTTCGTAAACACCAGTTTATTTATTTATTACCACTATACAAGTATATACATGTCGTATGGCGTATCGCGCGACTGTCGGTGCACGCGCGTGTGTATACGCGGATTCGTAGTTTACAAATTTTCATTCTATATAAATACGTATCTCATCGCCCGCGCGATCTCATCCTTTCCCTTCTCTTCCTCTCCTCTCTCTCACTCCTCCGCTATTCTTATATATAAGGCCAGAGAAATCGAATTTTAATCGTGTTTCGATCGCACGGGGACTCATTCGAGCGGACGCAAGTTTGCCTAAGATTTCACATAGCAACGGCTCGTGCGCTTTCGCGCGATCATACATTTGTAAACGCGTTTTTCAAATCCGCGTTCTAGAGTTGAACAAGAGGACCCGCTACGAGATCCGAGGAACACCAAGGCCGTAATAATTCGCGCTAAAGGTGCGTCGGCGGAACTCCCATCCCTATAGTGTTTCATTATATTCGTATTATGTCGAAGACACGCAAGTGACGTGTCACGGCATATCGGGCAAATTGTGCGTCTCGTTGACGCGAGAATCGCGCGGGGAAAATTCTTTCGAGAAAAGAATTTCGATATTATGTACAGAGAGACTTCCCTTTTTCTCTCGTCATTGGGGAAGCTGACGTACGAGCTTTCCATACAGCTAGGAATTTTGCCAAAGTTTCTTCCGCCTAAATCTTCATCGGACGGTCGCCTCAACGACGGTATTCCCGCAAGATCGCTTGTAGGATCAGGCAGAGTAGGAGGTACGTAATACTCGCCGATCGGATGTTGGCATGGCTGTAACCGGAAGCGCGTGTCACGTTGAGTAAAACGGAAGCGTCGGCAATCCCTTCTGATGAACGGACCAGTAGCAACCATTCTCCCGTGTGTGACGATTGAATCGTCTCGAAACGCAAGGTCGTCCTGTAACATGACTCCGTACCGCCGTCCTGTAAAAGAACAAAATAAAAAAGAATATGAATAATTGCTCCTTTATCGTGCGCGTGTCTTCTTCCATTTCTAGAGAAGCGCTAAAGGGGTTGTGAAACATTTTTATTTCAATATGTTCAGTAGTATATAAAGGAATTAGGAAGACAAGATGTTCATATTCATTTAATATTCATATTTAAATAACAGTTATTTTGATTATTAAAATATAATCTTCTATCTTTTTCTTTTTTAAATTTATTTATATATTAAAAGTTAAAATTTTGTTTAAAAATAGAATATATAAAAATATATTATATAATATATATAAATATAATATAAAAAAGTATACATGTTTTTTTTCTAACGTTGCTATTGAACGCTAATTTTTATTACATTTTTCAGTATACTAATTGTAAGTATGATATTTTTATGATACATATATATTTCACTATGAAAGTTATTTTTCTTAAGGGTTGACTGAAATTCTTGCTCACAGAGTAACGGGTTGCGAGGAACGAGCTTGCTTGAGGTTGACCCATATCAAACCGCTTTGTTCCCTGATAAGATGTCAAGCGAAACGCTATAGAGAGAATTCCGAAAGTTTTTCTTTAACAAGCTGAAGCAGGGTAACGAGCCAAGGTAAAATGGCATCTACAATTCACAGTGACGGTACCACAAACTCGTGCTCGCGAAGATCTTTACGAAGACGTTTTTATGGCGCTTTCATAGCGTTTTAAACATTGGGATCTGGTTGCCGCAGGTCATGCTCCAGTCTAAGACGTTTTTATCGCATAATGCTCATTAACTTGCGATTCGATAACGTCCATCCAGTTGTCCCCTTATCGGGCACAGTCTCTTTCCCTCTCTCTCTCTGTCTTTACGATTAAACTTTCACGTAAAACTTCCGGCGAGAGCAAACTGGGAACTTCCGGCGTCGTTCTACGTTCTCGCTTCAATTATCCATCTTACCTTCGACTGCTTCTTCTTAGACACCCCACCTTCTCCATCTTCTTCGTCTTTTATTCCCTTAAAATACGTTTTATTACTTTCCGCATTAGTACCTATAATGACTCCTCTTTCTTCGACTTTGTTTCTTTGTTCATGGAAAAATCAATCGTATTAAGCCGATCATAGGTCTACGGAACTTTCGGTTTATGAGATAATTGACCTTAATAGAAGAGCAATACAGATGGTTTGTATGAAATAATGACAAAAAATAAGATAAAATTTTCTCTTAAGGAAATATTTGTATAACTTAAGATTTGTGAATATTTGCTTCATTATTAGATAATCGAATACATTTCAGATTTTTGAGTTCCCATTCTATCATTAAATATATGTAAAAATGTTCTAAAATATGACCTTTTTTGTTGCAATAAGTATTAAATTTTCTATAGTTTCAATATCTTTTGATCTTTTAAAGATATGAAAAAAGATATAGTATATTATTAACATATTATATACGGCCAAGTCAAATTGAAAAAGGAAGCATAAAAAACAAAAATTAATTGTGAAAATATTTTATTCCGATATTTGTATTGCCAATTTAATATCAAAATTTCATTTTAAAGTGTTAAATATTAAATATCTCAAATGCTTTAAATTTACACTGAACATCTTGAATTATTAACAACTTAATGATTTAGTAATGCATATATATTCAGCCGAAACGTGATAATCTCTAACTGTCGTATCAATATCTTTGATTTAAAATGGTTATTTAGTAATGAAAAGAGAAAGACGCGTTTATATATGCCAAGATATAAAATATTTATCAACTTTTAAATTACACAGGACATCATTTGATATTTCTCTGCTATTGCGACATTGAAGGGATCATAATATATATTTGACGATTTGTGATAATTTTGTTTTAATCTTATTCTAGTACACAACTAGAATGCACATAATGAAAGACTTCATCACTTTACTCGCACAGAACCGATCGAATATAGGCATGTCATTGTGACCTTTTAATATCGAGGCAACAGCGCTTCTTTGGCATTCACTTTATCGATAACGCGGCCGTGGAGAAATACGTAATTGAATCGGAGACCCATACTATTCGTTGGCAAAACTGACGTCATCTTACGGCAATATATCTCGTCGCTACGATTCCCAGCAGACGGAGGATTCGTCGTCGTCGCTGTAGGGGGGGGGGGGATCTTGCGAGTTTTTCGCATGCAAGGAATCGGCAGTTTTTTACTCCATTTAATCCCGCGTTTCGACCTCCTCTCATCCTCCGACCTCCACCTTTTCGGCACGACAGTAGCCCGCACTCCCCATCTGTCGATCCATTCTTTTTGTATTCTTTATTCACGAGCTCTGTCCGCATCATCCCACCTTCCATTTCCGCATCCCTCTTTACGAATCATCCCGACGTCTCGCTTGTTTCCTCCCTGTCTTCCTCTTTTTGTTGTTCTCATATCTCTTTACATCTTTCTGTCTTTTTTATCATCCCACCATACATATCTCTATCCTTTTTACCACGTCATCATATTGGTTTTGCTATTGGCTTCGCTCTATTCTTCTTACCCTTATCCTTTTATTCCCTTTCTTTCTTCCTTTAGTTTGTCCAAACTTTCTCCGCTAATACATTCTAAGTTTCTGTGACTTTCAATTTTCTTTTATCCCTCTCAAACTATCTCGCCGTTCGTTTCCTTTACTTTATTCAGTATTCCTTTACTAACGTATCCTACTTTGTCTATTCGAGTTTTTTTCTATCGAGATTTCTTGGCATTTCTCTATCTCCATTAGCCTATTCTCTCTGTAAACTTCTACCCCCTATTTCATTTATACTCTTTTTACTTCCAGTTTCTTTTACCTTCGTTCTCCTTTCTTCTTATCTACTAACATATTTAACATTCCTTTACTCCATTGTCACTTCTTCTGAATTTTTCTTCTTGCGCCTTTTAAAATTTTAAATGTATTTTAGTAACTTTGGCTTTTCTCTTTAAATTTTTTTATTATAACACGATTTCAACTTGTTTGGAGAGTTAATTTATTATATATACAAACATATGTAATAACATCAAACATAATAAAATAGTTGTAAATTGTGCGTTAACTTTTTTCTGTGAATTACATATGTACATTCATATTTTATTTCTCACGAAAATAATAGTATATGTAAATGTAATATAGTAAATACATTTAAATTTCTTTACATGAACAGTGCAATCATATAGTCTTTCGATTCAGCGCAGCAATAAAGCTATTTAATAAGTAATAAACCTTCTTGTTAATAAATGTTTTTAATTACGAAAATATAAACGTTTTATTGATTATTAATTATCAATTATTGACTTTGTTCTGTATTCGCAGTTTGTATGTGATTTTTCTGCAATAAAATCACCTTTCAATGCTGTGCAAAAGTTTTTGAAAAGTCTCTATACGGTACGTAATAGCTTTCAACAGAACACCATTGCGAAAAGAAGATCGATATGTAAGCGGCGCTATGAAAATATTTTGCGTACGAAGTATATTCTCAAAAATATCTTAATAATATCCAATAATATTATCGTAATATTCGATAATCAGAAAGAAATTGCACCATCCGGAAACTGTAATTACATTTTTTATCATTTCTTAGTAGACACGTTATTTCTTTTTGTAGATCGCTTGTAACGTTTGATGCTTAGTTTTATTCGTCACTTTTTTATTTGAAGTACAACGCTGCGGAGAATAATGCGCGTGGATGCTATAATCCGTATAAGATACCTATATTTTACAAATATTATCTGTGAATGCGCGAGATACGTCGCTAACTGTAATGTAAACACGACACTACATTGCGCTCGCATCGTCGTGATTCCCAATAAAGTCTGCAATTTTCAATGGAATCGATCGAGCCAATCGTTACTCGCACCGCGAAATCGGATGCTCGTCCTTATCGCGCTCACATAGCGAAGAGGATCAAACGTTAATAAAAACAAACGCAACACCGGGTGCATCGGCAAATCCTTCGCAAAGCTCCGTCGCATTGTTCGTGTCCGCCCGGCACTCCTGGAAAAATGGTTAATCCGTCCTTTATGATGCGACTACCTCCGCGCGCGCACGCGCGCGGATTCTGTCTCCGCTCGGGCGGAAAAAGAAGTGCTCCGACTGTGGAAATGAAATAAGCGCGCGTATATGCATACGCGCAAACCGGCCTGCATACATTCCCCGTAGTATCTCGTCACCATTTCTATCCGCATCCCTTTCATCTCGCTACCCTTCGTCGTCGTTCTCGCAAGCAAAAGGCGAGCGTGGCCGTTCCCAAGCTTCCTCTCGGTACCTTTCTCCCTCTGCTATGCCGAGTCGCATCGCAATGCCTCGGATATCGCGCGAACGTCCACGCCGGGATAGCGACATAATTTTCGCGTCGAAGGACTAACCACGCCCCCCCCCCCTCCCCCCGGGAAGTGTGTATGTAATCCCCGAGCGGGTACAAACGTCATCCTCGTGTTACGAAAGACGACAGATTTTCAGAGAACGCGCGAATTGCGTTTTTGCGCGGTATTTTTACAGCGCACGAGAGCACGAGATTGTCGAAAAAAAAAAAAAAAAAGAAAATCATCCGCGCAAAACAGAGTAAATCAGATCGTAGCTTTTAATAAAATTCTGCTATCCAGTTTTGCAGAGAAAGAACTGACCTAATAAGCAAGTAGAAAGCAATGCAGCCTTCATTAATGTATGTAATTATAATGCATGTAATTACAGCATGATTGATAGAAATATCAATTAGTTGTTTCAAATACTGCGACAAAACATCATCTCATTTTACGTTACATTTATAAGGAAAATATTCCAATAAATAAATATATTGTACTAAACCGCTAAATATCACTACACAATGTGAATGACAAATATTTACAAACTGTGAATACGTGATTGATGTCCTTTTCGTACAATTCTCTATGCATATAATTTATTATTTACTTATTCATAAAGCAAAGTTCACAATTTCTATATTTTGATATTCGTAATTATTTTTCTTCTGTAAAGTGAAAACGCGACCGTTGAAGCATGCTTGAAAAGAATAATAAATTAGTTACGTGCAAATACATGAGAAAAATATATTTTACAGAGGGAAACAAACTGATCAGATTATGAAGATTGGAATTATTTTGATGCAATAAAAAACTTGTTTTTCTGCAATTTATAGCAAGAGATGTAATTTACAACGATGATAAACTTTCGGAACTTAACGCGTATTTTCCTCAAATATACCTTTTCAATTAATTTCTTGTTTAAAAATGCATTTAATGTATTAATTATTAACTGTATGTTAATCATTAATCGTGTTAATCATTAAAAGCGCAAGTGTGTTTATATAACTATTTATTATTTAATATTTAAAACTATTATTAGGATATAAATATCATATATTATTGTTATATTATTATATAATTACTATTACTACTAGTAAAACTATTTATTTATTTTTGTTTTTCCTTGCACTGAATATTCAAAATTTGTAAACTATTATAATTTAATTAATTTTACGCAGATATACATATCTGAAAAGGACGCGACGCCAGTGAATTCGAGCATGAATTGCAAATTATCGAATTGACATAATATTCAGAGACGAAGTGTATTTATGTAATCTGATTATCTGAATTTCACGGGCGTTCTCGTGCGAGTTGAGAAACCGTACAAAGGCGGCCAAGCACGCGAACAATGTTTGATACAGCGAGACATGCAAATTTACCTCGATTGCGAGGGCTCGAACCCCGTCACGGGAGGGTGCGTCCGGCGTATACACATGCTTCTCCGATATCCAGAGTACCTTCGTGTAACTCGGTCGAGCACAAAACTCGACGATGATGTCCAGGGATTCACCCTCGTTCGCCGTCACCGTTTGACTCGGTGGATGAACCATGGGTGGCCCTGCAATGAAAATGAACGATTAAAACGGTTAACCTTTGTCGAACTGCCATGGCTACCCCTCTTGTTGTATGATCGTAAATCTACTCTCCGTCGACGTGACGCTTTTCGCGTTCGCTAACTAAGAGCTTCGTACCTTATTAACGGCGCGAATTTCCATCTAAATGGCTCGTTAACGCGGGGCGTACTCTACGATTTTATTTCATTCGCGCAAGCGTGCATCCGATTATTAGGATTGTCAGGCGCGAGTGTCTTTTATAGTACTTTTTCAGCACTATAAATGCATCATTGTCAGTGTTTCTGGCGTGTTAAACTTCCGTGATGGTTAATCGTGGCTAAGATTATTTAAATTACAAGAAAACGATGCATATATGTATATATCTTTAAAAAATACGAGAGTGGAAAGAGATGGCGTATTATAATTTGTTTTATACGTTAAATGGTATATAGGTATTTAATGAAATAAAATGTCTAGAATATTATTTTTATCAATAAAATTCTCTCTTATAATTTTATAAATACATAAAATGTTAAGCAATCATAGTTGTGACTGTAAATCTTAGAATATTGTAAATTGAAGAGACTGTACAGAAACAAAAAGCAGAAGTTGATATAATCCATAATAATCGATTCTGCTAGCACCGTTTTTACTGACCCACGATCTATCTTTATTTTTTTCTTAAATGATTATTGATGGGTATTTTGATGGATGATGCAAAAATACAAAGTTTAAGCAAAGGCAACACAGTATTTAGCTCAGGTGGAGACAGAATTTTCCATGAATTAGATTTTCACATAAAGATCGTTTTTTATTGAATGATACAAAGCGTAAATGTAGACTAATAGACGGACTGAGATAAACAGCTATTAACGGAAGACAAATGATGTGATAACAGATACAAGATTTGTCATGTTATTTTCTATATTTTCTTCGCTCAAAGCAGACCTTTTGGTTCTTGGAAAAAGGGAAAAATGCAAGAGTGTATGAAAACAGAGCGCTGAAATAAATATACTTATAATCGCGCATTATTCTTCGATATTGTGCTATAAATCGCGATAGACGTATCTTTTATTGCACAACTACGTCTAAATATTATTAAACAAATCATGTTATTAAAAATAGATCTGCTTTCCTCCTCTTTTGGCACAAGTGTCAACGAAGTGATAGATATTACTGTAACGCGATAAATTTCAAAAAAGTTCTGGAACTGAAATGTACGGTCGGGGCGACCCCTGCTGAACTCGTTCTCGGTCGTAAATCTGACCTTCGGTGACACTTCCGGTGCAAGAGACGACCTGAAGGTGGAGGACAAGGATCGCCGATTAGTACTACTGTCATCCCTGACATCTGCCGCTCCTCTTTTGTTTGCCGTCACATTCGTTTGTACTTTATTATTAACGAATAGCTTGATGGTCACCACATTAATGACATGACAAAACTAAAGAAGTATTGCATAAAAAAAATCGAAATCTTTCGCGAAGGTCATGTCCACGAATTATTTCTCAGTCTGCTTTCTTTTTTATTTTATTTTTTAGTCGATTATTATAGTTATAAAAATTTTGTATAACCAAGAATACTGTATTTCAAGTTTTCTTCAATATGCATCGTTGAACTAGCATGAAAATAGCGTAACGATTTTTCAATATCGGCATGTACCAACATACGTCGATAGCATACTTTTTTATTTATCCTTAGAAAAGTTTACAATTGTGTACGTACTATGCTTGCTGAGCATTTAAAATTTTAAATTAAATTCTTGACAATAAATTAAAAAAAATTTCATAACTAATAAGCAATTAAAAATGTTGAACAAGAATCAATAACTTTTAAAATTATGTTTCTATTCCTTTTTTCTAAATAACTTGATTATTTTCAAGAATCAAGAATCAAGAATTTAACAATAAATTAGAATAATAGTTTGATGAAATGGTTTACAGCATCGCTGATTTCTGCAAAGCTTCCAAATGTCTTCAGGATCCAACGAGACATGCAACGTGATCGAAACGTAGAAACTTGGAACATCGTACGACAATGCGAGCAGTCCTCAGCTACGACGCGATGACGTGCGGAGTGTTCGCGCGCGCAAATTGCAATCATGGGTTTTCGATTTCCCAGCCTCAAGGCGATCGCGATTCCGCAAATTGTCTCGCACTACCGTTCGAATTTCCTCTTGTCGCCGACTACGAGAGGTTTGTCGATATATAGTTTCAGCTTCGCGAGTTAGCGTTTGTGGGCCGGAAAATCGGACGAGGTCATGAGAGTCGGAATGAGACAAGATTTTCTTCATTTTCTTTGTCTCAACAAAAAAAATTTCTATCCGGATTGAACGAAGCGCTTCACAACGCAAAGTAATGCAGGAACAAGGTTCAAAGTTTCAAGCGGTATCGTAGATGTTTCTCAAGTTTTTCTTTACGACTGGATTACAGCGTGCTCCAAGTGATTGAAATAACGAATTAAAAGAGTAACAAGTCACATAATTTAGTTAATTTATTTTTTGATGCTGCTTTTCCTGAGAATATTATTCTTTTTGATAATCAAGCAATCACGTATTTATTAATACAAGTAAAAATTCTTTATACGTACATACAGAATATTTAAAAATTCATGCCATACTAAATAAGTCAAGAGAAAAAAAATCTTATTTTTGGTCAAAGCGGATGCTCTTGGTGCTTAATAATATTCGTGCGCAAATTTGCAAATATATTCTTCAGTTCTATGAACTGTGCGTCGATTTAGTTTTTGTTAGACTTGAAACGTAAAAAAAAAAAAAAGAAATAAGTTATCGTGTCGTCTGCTCAGTCGTGTGTCTAATTTTCTCGTAATTTATTCAAGTACTCAAACTGATTGGTCAACAAGCGGTTAGTATGATAAATTGCACAGTATTATCAGCTCTTTAATCCACGCACTTCAGCTAATTGAAGTGCGGATGTCGCTGCTTAACCCTAGTGACGACCTCCCTCTGGGAGGTTCATTTTCCACTCCACGGGAAACCACGTCCACCCCCAACCATTCCTTTTTTTTTTTTTTGTTCAAATGGCCTCCTATCTCTACACAGATTTCCTGCTTCGTAAAGCAAGCCTTCTGACCTCGACCGAGCCGTCAGTAGAGTGAATAGAAGCGGAACAGTATAGCCAGCAACCGCGGCATCGTTCATGAATATTCCTACGGCTGAAATTGCTCGAATATCTTGGAGGTAGTTCTTGTCCCTGCGGCGAGGGGCGGACTCTTTTTGCCATCCTTCCGTTAGCCCCGCTTCACCGTGACGCATAACAGCGACGACGAGAAGTTACCAAGCTCATGCATGTGGCGCGCAGAGCTTTCTTTTAGCACACAGATTTTTTGAACATTTTTACGCACTTATAATGATATCGTTCCGTGAATTATTCAAGTGCATACCACGCATGATCTGCACGCCAGGATTGCGCCTGCAGAAATGAACGAAAATGCAAGCCTCGTAGAAACGAACACATCTTTTTAGAATATGTACTTATAATTTAAAGTTCAGAAATGAGTTAATTATTCGATAATTATAATACAATTATTTGAAGTTGGAAACTTGATTATTGACAATTTCTAAATATTGAGTTTAGTTAAACTTGTGTTAATTGTGAGATACAAATTCTAGCGAAATTATGTACTATCAACGTTGATGCAATTTTAATTGTTAATCTCTTTGTATTTCTGTATTCGTAGACATTCTGCTTAGTCTCCAGTTCTCTCTTTGTTCTAGTAAATAAATATTGACATTTTCGATCAATATTTAGTCTTACATTGCGATTTTATGAAATAATCAGTATATGATTAAAAAAATAGAATGTATAAAATTTATTGACTGCATAAAAGATATTAAATATTAGGTATAAAATCTTACCCGATAATCAAAAGTTAAATATTTATTTACTCTGCGTTATACATGCATGTACACATTTATGGATATTCATTTATTAAAGTATTGCACTTATCAAAGTATACTCTTTTAACTGCATGATCATGTTATATATATCTAGGATTAAATTTATAACAGATATTCTAATATCAATAAAACTTCCGCACAAATTGTGAACGGAATCGAGGAGAAATGTCGTAAATAAGTTTGAATGGGTCGGTATGTACGCCATTTGGTTTCATGGTGCACAACTGGCGACAATGATTATGAGAGTGTTAACGATCGCTAGTCGACGACGAGCTTAGGTAAGAAGAGCACAATGAGAATCCTGTGTTCAACTACGTACAGTACGTCTTTCCCGAAAATGGGTCTTCTTTGAGAAAATTTCCTTTCCTGAATTGCACTTGGAACGCACCGCGACGTTTCCGGAAGGAATCTCTTAGCAAGTTAAATGAATCGCGAACGATTGCCTACAACGGCAACGTGATTCATTTCATTGTGCACCGTTAGAAAGAGCTTCGATAGGAACGATCGTCAAAGTAACGAATTTCCTCGTGACGATTCGATGGCGTATCGTTCGCTGTGGAACGGAAAGGTTGCACTTTGTTCGCCGCGGAATTTAGATCGATAGCGACACGGATTTGAATCTTCTCGCCGAACATCGTCCGTCGTTTAAAGAAATTACGGATCGATGGCCCGTATTACCAGTTATCGATGGCTTTCGTGATACTTTTCGAACATTATGTGGTGTAGGAAGGAACTTGAAAAGAAGAGGAAGTATTAGAGATAATCTTACAGATCGTATCACCAATTAAATGATTTTTTCTAAATTGATAATTAAGTTGATTATGTGCAAAATTGCCTCAATATAAAGTTTTGTAATCTGATCTCTTAAAAAAATGTAATTATAACTTTTTAAGCAATTTTAAATTATCTTAATTTATATTTTTAAATCAATCTAATTTCTTTTAAAATTTAATTTGATAAAATTTAAAGATATATTGTTGTAATCTTTTTTATATAGGGATTTATTATTAAATTTTCTAAACGAGTAACATCTTGAAAGAAAGTGCTTTCTGGTATGTTATTTCACAAAAATGCAAATTAATATCTTTT